AAATTTAAATAATGTGTACCTATAGACATTGATTGTCAATTGTCAATTCTGAACCGTTTACTGTATTCCAAACATTGAACAGTTATTTTCTTAATTAAGTTATCATCAAATAAAACACAAATCTTAAAGTTTGTTCTTTTCATAAAACTAATAGAATTTTTAAAAATATCTTTCATTCAGTTTATGTCATTATCAAACATTTTTTATCACAGAATATTTATTGAGCAAGCTATATTTATATAGCAAGAATATTTATTGTGTAATACAAAACTAAGCTAACAAGTAAGGATATTGTACTTACAAGTTAGATTAAAAACTAAACTATTCCTTCTATTTAATAAAAAGTATGTACTGTACTGTACTATAATTCTTTCTTATTATAACAATTTCCCATTCTTTATCAGTTACATAAAATTGCCTTGGTATACAATAAAGTATAGACTAAATTCTGAACGTTTAGAAAGTGAATATAGTGAACATTTCATAAAACTATGCTGTACGTTTAAGAGTTAGCTCTCTACACTTGTAGTGAATGTTTATTGTACAGTAGTTGAACATTTAGAAATTGAACAGTATGCTTAAACAGTAAGTTTTAAATTTGGCAAAATTTTGGCTCACGAACAGGTTTATATGGTTCCCATCGAGTATGTCTTTATTTTTACTCAAACCCTATTCACCACATTTCATATCAATTTCTATAACCATTTACGCAATTAACTTTAAACTAATTCATAACATGGTTTTCCATTCAATGGCATCAAAGTAATTAAACCATTTTAAAAATATAATATTTATTATAACATGTTCTAAATATTAATTTTGTTTATTTAATAAAAACATACAACAAAACGTTATTTAATTATACAATAATTACTTGAATAGTAAATATTCTCTCAAACATAATAAATAAATATATTTTTAATCTAGTACATATTACTAGTACATGTATAATATCTAATTTTATCATTACAGTGAATTATTTAAAAGTTTGAATAAATATGTGATAATTTTTTAAAAGTACTAAAAACAAGTTGTCATTAGTATTATACTGTATTCAACTTATTTATGCGAAACTTTATTGAATGTCATTTGATTTATTCATACTATTTTAAGAAACAAATTATTGAATCACTTCATACATTATCTAACCTACAACATTGTGCTTCATATGTCTTTTGTATTACTGTTAGACTATTTGAAGTCAACAATTCATTTCTATTGAGAATTAATTAATAATTTATTAAACATTAAAGTAAACATTAGTTTAAAATATCGGCTAAAATGTCTAAAAGGCTGCCATTCTTGAGATCTTGTCTTGAGGAATGTGATCCACCAATTAAAACAGAGGTTAAAGGTTTGTATATATTAGATATACCTATCTATTTATGATATATTGATATATTGTCTAAAAATCAAGTTAATAAATAATTAATAAATAATTAATAAATAATTAATAAATAATTAATATTTGTTTTAAAAAGTTGTAGACTAATAATGGCAAAATAATTTATATGATATAACAGTACTAATGATTATAAACTATGATTTATTGTATATTATGACAATTTAAGGTGTGATCCCAGTGTGGCTGAAGGGCACTCTTTTACGCAATGGTCCCGGTCTTCAAGAAGTGGGAACCGATAAATACAATCATATGTTCGACGGCTTAGCGCTTATGCAT